GGGGGGGGGGGGGGGGGGGGGGGGGGGGGGGGGGCAGGCAACCACGTGCCTCAGCTTGGAGGCTCCATGGGGGCTGTGCAATGGAGATGGGAGCAACCAGTCCAAGGTTGCCTGCTCCCCCAGCTCAAGGTTGCCTGTTCCCCCATCTTGAGGCACCCTGAGCCCCGGCCAGGAAGGAAGTGGCTGGCTGGGGCGCAGAGTGCCTCAGCACGTGGGCTCCACAGCATGCGGAGATGGGAGAACAGCAGGGAGATGACTGCTCCTCCATCTCTGTTTATCCCAGCACTGGCCACTTTGGTGTGGTTTGTGCTGCTTTTTTCCAGGTTGTTTTTTTGTTTTTCTACTAGGAAATCCTGGTAGCAAATTTTGTCCCAGCACTGAAAATTAGCAGCACTGCACACTGAGTGATGTGCAACTCGTGCAGTTTGTGGCACTGCAAAGAGGTTTGCAGTACCACAACCCACATGTGTCTGTACATCTGGATCCAGCCCTAGGATACTGAAGAACTTATAATTTCAGAGCCATTAGTTATCCGCTTTGAGAACTTGTGGAGGTTGGGTGAGGTCCCAGATGAATGGAAAAGAGTAACTATAGTTCCCATCTTTAAGATGGATGCATGAAAAGTAAGTTGTGCCTGACCAACTTGATAAGGTGACAGGTTATGTGGATGAAGGGAGAGCAGTGGATGTGATGAACCTTGACTTGAGCAATGCTTTTGACACTGTCTCCCACAATGTTTTTTAACAAGGAAATATGGACTAGACAAAAGTACTGCATGGATACATAACTGTTTGGATCATCATGCTCAATGAGTGGTCATTAGTGGCTTGATGTTTAGTTGGGAGGAGGTATCAAGTGGGGTTCCCCAGGGATCTGTCCTGGGTCTGGTACTGTTCAACATTTTCATTAATGGTTTGGAGGATGGGACGGAATATATGCTTGACAAATTTGCAGGTGACACCAAGTTGGGTGGAGCTGCAGACGCTCTGAAGGGCAGGGCTAGGAGTCTGAATGATCTGGATAGACTGGTCTGCAATCAGTGAAGAGAAATGCACTTGGAAATGGAGTAATTACATGCACAAATACAGACTGAGGCATGATTGACTGGATTGTAATGCTGCAGAGAATGACCTGGGGGTTACAGTGGACCATAAACTGAATATGAGACAGTGTGCTCTTGTTGCCAAAAAAAACAAAAACAAAACAAAACAAAACAAAAAAAAACCCAAAGGAAAAAAAAAAGGCAATAGCACACTGGGTTGTATTAGTAAGAGTGCTACTTGAAACTCGAAGTACGCAATTCTTCTTCTCTATTTAGCACTGGTGAGGCCTCATCTGGAGTACTTTGTCCAATTTTGGACCCCACACTTCAAGAAGGACGTGCACAGGTTGAAAGAATGCAGTGGAGAGTGACAAAAATGATTAGGGGCTTGGGAGACGAGACTGGGGACAGACTGAAAGAACTAGGGTTATGTAGTCTGAAGAAGAGAAGGCTCTGGGGGATTTGACAGCAGTCTTCAAGTACCTGAAGGCAACTATAGGGAAGATGTCAGGCATTCGCAAGAGTACAGCGTCAAGAACTTACTTCAAATGATAAATTAGCATTGCTGAAGTCACCAATTGGGGCAAGATTGAATAGGTGTTGGCACAGCAACCACTGTCTTCAGGTTTCCTGATTTCTTTTACTACCAATACTTTTACAATACTTCCAGTACTTTTACTACCAATAAATATAGTAGTTGATGATTTTTGAAATGTATGAGGATAATATGTCTTTGTTGGAATTGTTAGAGCTGCCTGCTGCCTTTGATGTGCTCAGTAATGAGATGCATTTGTCATGTCTACCGACGTAGGTGTAACAGCCTTCACAAAGCCTGTTTGAAGCATCTGACAAGCCCCAGAGAGTGATTTCGGGTGCTTCTCTGTGGAGTTTCATAGAGTTCTGTGTATCTGTAGGTTCAGTGTGTGCAGGCAAGGTTATCAGGAGCGGTCAGCATCGATTCACCAAGAGCAAGTCACGTCTGACCAAAGAGTGAAGTGAAAGGGAACAATTTCTGTATATCTGGATGAACTTAAATCCAGTTGTTTTTCTCTTGTAGCCAGTCTTTCTAACACAACTGGAATAGATTGCTCTTTGAGATTGGGGTTGGGTGAGAGAACACAAAAGGATAGCAGCAATCTGGAGGAAGTTGCCAGAAGAAATTAATAGTTGCTTAATAGCTTGTGCCCATTCTGTGCAAAATAGTGCTGCATCTATGGTTTTCTGCAGACCTTTGGCTGCTGCTGAATGGTCAAATTGTGGATGTTGTAGTAGAGTAAGTCTGTTCATCTGTCTTTATTAAGTCAAGTGTGCCAGTTTGTTGCTGTTACACTTATTCAAGCCCTTGCCCCCTTGAAATTAATGTGCTATAATCTGCTTTATTTAAGGAGCTGTGCATGGGATCATTTATTTGTAAGATGAAATTAATAAAACTGTGCATATATTAAGACTGCGGTAACATTGAGAGCCCATAACGTCAGTGCTTAAATATACTGGCTGTTTATCTGCTGCCAGTGGTCACTCAATCTACTGATTTATTGAAGCCTTTAAAGCTCTGCATATTACTATATGCACCCTCTTGCAAAGATGCCTAGGGTTTTAATTTGTATTGGTTCTTGAAATTGGGCTCATGATATTAGGCCACCCACTGGTTGTCTTTAAGAGGTGGGGATACCACCTGAGAAAGCAGATGGGATGAGGTTGGTTGCAGCCTGTGCGTTATTTTTGTTATTTGCAGTACCCATTAATTTGGGTAGGAATTAATTACTATTTAGGAGTGCTGACCTGTTGATCCTTGGTAGTGTAGTCTAACTGTTGATTACTTTGCTGTTTTTAACATTAAATTTATTAACATCATAAATATAGATTTCTGGCATGTGGGGCTAAGGTGTGGGTGGGTGGGACATATCCCCTTGTGTGTGTCTTTTCTACAACGTGAACATGCCTAACTCCTTCAGCTTCTTCTCATATGACTGGCCTTCTAAGCCCTTGATGATTTTTGTTGCCCACCTCTGGACTCTCTCTAGCTTGTGTGTGTGTTATATATATATTTTAATATCTTAGAGCAATAGTGATAATCCAT